TGGGGGTGGGTGGGATGGGGTTGGGGGCAGAAGAGAGGCCTGCACTCCCCCCAGATGGACACTCACAGGTTATGCTCATGAATCAGGATAAAAAGTCCATTCAAGGCGAGGAGGCTGATGGCGCCCCCTGCAGACAGACACACAGCCATGGAGCTGCAGCCCACACTCCAGGCTCCTGGAGCCAGCTGCCCACAGGCCTGCCCGCCCCCCTCCGTCTCAAAAGGGAGGAAAGGGACCCCCAGCACCCACCCCGCCTGGTCGGCCCCTGTCGCAGCCCCTCTGGGCGCCCCGCTCACCGATGTCGTAGGCGCGGGTGAGGAAGTCGATCATGAGGCTGGGCTGGGCCAGGTGGGGCAGGATGGACTCATGCATGATCACCAGCACCTTCTTGTAGAGGCTGAGGGGCAGCTGGGGGGCGGGGGGAGAGGGTCAGGGCTCTGTCTGCCACACCCCGCACAGGCCAGGCCCAGACTGGAGCCTGCTCCCCCCAGGCCCTACCTTGTGCTTGAGGAAGCCGAGCCACATCAGCTGGAAGGCTTTCCTGTGCTCCTGTGCGTGGGGGAAGGGTTTCCAGCCGGCCTGGGGCCTCCTCGCCCCCGGGGTCCTCTGAGTGACCCAGGGGCTGTCCAAGCCAGGAAAGAGGCGGCTGCCTTCTCCCCAAGTCCCACACCTGCTGCCTGAGGCCGCACCCCAGGACGGGCCTGTTCCCAGGGAGACCCCCGCCCTCCGGAGCATCTCACCTTCAGATGAGTGACCTTCCACTTGTCCGACAGCTCTGCGAGGGAGAGGGCAGGGAGGCGACGGCTCGTGAGGCTGGGAGTTGGCGACCCTGGCCACGGTGTCTGCGGCCGCCTGCATCGCGTGGTAGCGCACGTCGTCCTGCTCCAGGTACTGGGAGAACTGGGAGAGGAGCAGCGAGCAGTCCTCCTCCAGGGACAGCAGGCCGTCCACCACTGCCTGGCCAGGCAGGGGGAGAGCAGGTGAGTGCTTCTCCAGCCTAGGATGGCCAACCCGGGCCGAGCCCACACAGCACAGCCTCACAACCAAGAGCCCCAGGAGCCCCCCCAAGCGGCAGCCTCCCCCCTCCCCCCGAGGCCGGATGGGGCAGAGCATCACGCCGAACAGCCTCCCGTCGCGGCTCTGGCCAGAGGTCCGCCGGGACCCCCAGGCGCCCCTCACCTTGAAGAGCTGGCGGGGAAACAGGTAACTGCCCTCCCACTTGGGCTTCTCCAGGGGGTGCGCCCCTTCCAGCTGCACGAACTTCATGAGGGTACTGAGGGCGAGCTCCTGGGGAGAGGGGGGCAGTGGCCGCGGTGCCCCGGCAACGTCCCCTTCCCGTGGACCGGCCCACAGAGCTCTCCCGGAACTTCAGCCTGACTGTCCACGAGAGGACAGAGCCACCCACCCAACCAGCCAACAAAAAGGAACAAGTGCGGGAAGGCAAGCGGCCAGCCTGTGTGTGCGGAGAGGCTCGCGGTTGGGGTGCAGGGGACGCTCAGGGCGAGAAGAGAAGGTCGGGGTCCCCAAGACTCACCTTGACCTGGAAGGAGGGATGGGCCAGGAGTTCGGCCAGGCGGTTGCAGCAGCTCTGGTAACGGTGCCGCATCCACACCTTGTACTTCCGCGTGGCCCCCTGGGACCCTGCCGTGGGGAGGGTGGTCAGCCCAGCCAAGCACACGAGTGGGAACCATAGGCCACCATGGCCCCAGCCAGAGAGAGAGAGAGAGAGAGAGAGAGAGAGAGAGAGCATCGTCTTCCCCAAGGGTAAGCCCTGTTAAGAGGTTTTGGGGGGCTCATCACGTCTCCCTCCACCCTCGCCAGAGACGAGGCCTGGGCCCCCAGGACATTCACCTGCCATGACGGTCTCCTCCGGGGGCAGCTGGCCCACGAACAGCTCCCCCCGCTCCAGCAAGGCCCCGAACAGGCGGCTGCAGGCGCGCACCGCATCCTGGATCTCCTCCGGGTCCTCCGACTGCGGGGAGAGGCCGGCCTCGGGGAGCCC